GTACCTAGCAGAGGGAAGAGAGAAGAAGAGCTCCCTAAGCCTCATGCTGCCTTCCATCCCCCTCCCCCTCTGAGGGCTGTGAAGGTGGTTCTGGAATGGGCTGGGTCCCACCTCTGAAGTTGGGGGGGGGTGCTGCTTCTAGTTTTCAGTGGCGCCAGCCTTCTCTGGATGTGGAAGTAGGAGACCCTAACCCTGATGTGATCAGCTTCCGCTCCACCTGGACCAAATACATTCAGGAGAACAAGCAGAAATGGAAGGAACAGGCAGCAAGTGGTGGGTACCATTGTGGGCATGAAGCCGTGGGAGGAGGTGGCTAACAGAGTAGTAGCAGGTCCATTTTCCTTAAGCCCCTGGAGCAGCCGTTGACTCCGAGTTGGGAATAGAGCTGATCAGACTACAGTTAGATTACAGGAAAGACTGACCAGATAATTGGCCTGAACTGTTCTAGAATGAGAACTGGAGAGAGAACAGGGACAACCATATTCCACAACCAAGGGGCCTTATGCACATTGCGGCCTGTGAGTGGTGCTCCTGTAGATTAGGGTCACTTGGTGGCCCCGGCTGGGAGACTTTTCCTGTATGTGGGAGTTGAGATTGTGATTAGCAATCTGAAGGCCCGAGAGGCTCTCCACAAGTGGCCGGGGGTTGAAGATAGGAGGATGCATGAGAATCTCTTACTTTTCTCCACATACTCCTTGGTTCTGGGGAAAACTACTTCTTGGTCTGGTCTCAGCTTCCTGCATGCCCCTCTGCAGGCATCACCAACCAGATGTCCATTGACGAGCTGTCCCCCTGTGAGGAGGAGGCCCCGCCCTCCCCTGCCCAAGATGAACACAACCAGAATGGGAATCTGGACTAGCCTGGGGCTGGCCCAGGTGAGCCTGTCATGGTGGAGTGGGAGGGTCTTGATGTTGGGCGGGGAGTAGGGAGAGCTGGGTGTCCAACATGGCATTTTGAAGAGTCATCTCTGGGGTTCAATGGATGTGAGGTTCTCCCTCCCTCCTTCCAGGCAAGAGAGTGGTGAAAGTGAACACATAGAACTGAGTCAGTGTGTGAATGTGAAGCCAGGAAATCCTCCCAGCTCTTCTGTCCCAGTCCCTGCATTTGGAAAGCAGGTAGCTCTTCAGAGCAGGGTGGGGCCTGAGCAAGGCTAGAGCCATCCAGGTAGCACCTTTGTGAGGGCTCGGGAAAAGGAACCAGCCGGGGCACAGGCTCTGTGAGGGCAGTTGGCATGACTTCGATTGCAGCTCCTGCTCACACCTTGGCTGAGTACCCTTCTGCAAGGCATTTTTTTGCACAATTATTTGTGGGACCGAGTGGGGATCTGGGCGGGACTTGGAGAAGGTAAGTCAGGCTGGAAATAAAGGCAAAGGTCCGAGCACTGAAACTTCCCCTCTTTCCCCAGGTCCTCATTGAGTCCCAGTGTTAGATGTCATCAGCACCATCCATCGGGACTAGCTCCCCCATCTGCTCCAAGGGAGCATGAAGGTCGAGGAAGAGACAACCCACCCGAAGGCCAAATGCCAGAGAATGTGGGGTTGGGGAAGGGCCCCTCCCCACCCGACACCCACTGGGCCATACTTTAATCTCCCGGCAGCAAGACTGGGGAACTTCAGGCTCCCAATGGTCACTGTGCCCATCCCCCTGCCTCTGGACTCCCCCGTGGCCAGATGGATGTCTGGGGAAGGGGAGCTTCCTGCAGGCTCCCCAGGGTTTGGGGGGAGGGTCAGAGATGCCAGCCCCCTGGACCCTCCCCCATCCTTTTTGCCTCCAAGTTTCTAAGCAATAAATTTTGGGGGTTCCCTCAGCCCCCACCCCAGATCTTAGCTGGAAGGTCTGGGTCCCCTTTTCCTACCCTGGGAGGGGCTGGAACAGGAGAGAAAGCTGGGGGGTTTCAGAGCCCTATGCGTGGGGAGGGGAGTGGGCTTCTTCAGGGCATGGTATCATTTCAGGGCCTGGGAATGGGGGGTGAGCAGCCTCTTTACCCCAGACCTGCACTGCTTCAGCCCCATCCCCAGCTCGACCCCTTACTTCTTCCCTCCTCCCATTCGTCATGGCAACTGGAGAAGAGGACCAGGGGCTGAGAGCAGGTCTTTCCTGGGGTCCTTAAGAGCTTGGGACTGGTCTGGGCCTGGGACATGGAACCTGCCCTGGCTGATGCCTGAGCCCTTTGCCTCCTTCCTCTCCCCTGGGCTGGAGGCTCCCATCCGACCAATGTCTGTAACGTGCTTTGAGTCTCCTCAGCAAAGCACCTTCAGGATGCATCTTACGAGCACAGGCAGGAGAGACCAGCTGGGTCAGGGTCAAGGGTGCATGATGGGGGTGAGGTATAACCCAGTAATACTGTGTTACCACCAGAGGATCCCTCCCCTTCTCCATTCCAGCACTGGCCCAGCTGCGGGCACCAAGAGGCCCCTCCTCTGTGACAGTGGGGAGGGGTGGGAGGAAGGCAGATGGGGAGGGGCTCAGGGTACTGCTGTAATGCCCTCTGAAGAGAGCCCCCCAGGCCCCCTGTCCCTTCCTCTCCTCAGGTTCCTCTCACCCCACCTTGTCCCAGGAAAGGCCCAAGTCCAGGTGACTGCCCTTCTTTCTCGTAAATATCAATCATGCATCTGTACAGTGGGCCCTGTTCATGTGAAGTCCATATCCATGGTCTCTTAGACCTGCCACCCTGCCACCTGTCCCCCCTACCCCACCCCAAGTAGGGCAGAAACGCATGTGACTCATCCCTGCCCTCGGTCTCCCAGAACCCTGCTATATAGTCAGAGATCAATAAAGAAGGGAGACCAGGCTTGGCTGTGTTTGGTGTTCACTGGGTGGAAGTCCACCATGCATCTTCAGGTACACTGTCCCTTTAAGCTTGATAAAATCCGGTGCAGTCGGTGTTCTATCTGACGTATATATAGTGGGCAAGCTGAGGCCCAGAAAGGTGAGATGTTGCCTGAGGGCACACAGTAGGGAGGGCAGAAGTGGGACCTTACACTTCTGAGGTTCTTTTTCTCTCCATTAAACTGCTCCTTAAGGAGGGACAAATCTTTCCTCCCTCCCTCCCTCCCTCCTTCCCTCCCTCCCTCCCTCCCTCCCTCCCTCCCTCCCTCCCTCCCTTCCTTCCTTCCTTCCTTCCTTCCTTCCTTCCTTCCTTCCTTCCTTCTCCCCTCCACTACCTGGAAAAATCAAAAGCAGTGGGCAGGAGAGGCCTGGCTTTGGGGTCTGAGGAAGTTTCCTCACCTATGCTCAGCTTTTGTCTTTTACCCTGGCCCCTTGGTGTCTAGGACAAGGGGCAGAGTGACCTTCCCAATTCCCAGCAAGGACCTCTTAGATAATAGCCACCGTATTCTCAATACACCTTTGCTAATAGGTTGGAATAGGGGTGGTCTCCTCACAGGTGGAAGTTTGGGAATCACCGAAGCTTGGAGGGCAGGCGAGGAGGCATCCACACAACACACTACCCACTCTTTCCCACGGGCCGCGCCAGGCTGCAGTTCCCCATTTTGTCCAGCAGATGATGCTCACACAAAGTCACGGTTAGGCTGGCCTTAGAGCTCCAAGGCTCGCAGCTGCAGGGAAGCCCGCCAGGTGGCGATATCCCTTCTTCAATAGGAAAAGAGAACCTGGCGTCATTCTTTCCTCTTGGTACCCTGGAATTTAGTCTTCCCATCTATCTGACCCCCATTCCTCTTCCCGCAGCAAGTAAGGCAGGGATGGAGAAGAACCCCCTTCTCAAGTCTCCTGCCCATTGGCAACTGGGCACAGGGTAGAGAGGGCAGGACAAGAGGGGAGAGGGAAAAGATTCTCCAAGTCGGGAAAGAAGGGAAATACCAAGGATCTAACACCAAATTTATGACTTTTTAAAAAGAAGAGATTTTCCCCAAAGTGAAGAAATAAGAAACAAATCCAGTGTCCACGCACTCCCAGCTGCAGGCTTGTACCCAGGATCTCTCCTTCACTCTCAGACCTGCTGTGGGGAAAGGGGGCAGAAAGAAAGGGTGAGTGAGAGGCCCTCCCGAGCTGGTCTGCCCAACCATCCCGTTAGTCAAGTATCTAATTTCTGATGTCTGACACCAGTTCCTGCCCCTTGTCCAGGCTACGCAGGGGAGGGAGGACTGTAACATCGCAGCTCAGGGGGTTATTCCATCAATGCCTCCACTCCAGGCAGGTCCACTGCTCATCAGCCTGGACAGCTGAGGGTTCCAAATGCCCTTTATCAGAAAATCCATGGTCTATTTCCATCACCTAATCCAGGAGCTGGAAGTCCTAACTCAGAGTCTAACCTCAGTCCCTTCTGCTGCAGCTTCTCATTTGTCCATTCTCTTGCCATAGAGACTAGCTCTTCAGGGACTAAAGATGGTGCTCTGTTCCCCCTTCCCTGAGTCCAGATCTTAGCCCTCGCCTTTCTCCACACAGTTGCTCTCCTATAGACCCACAGCCCAGCCTTGGCAGCTTACCGAGTTGGCTCCCTGGGAACCCAGTGGTGGTATATGGGTTGAGAGTTCTTCTGTGCTGGGTTTCTCACTGCCCCTCTCCTGAGTTTTTGGGGTGGATTCTGCAAGCTCTAAGGAGGGAAAATGAGGGTGGGAGGAGAGGTAGTATTCATGAGGGCTGGTAGAGAGGGCAATGCTCACCCCACCCCATACTCCAACGACCCGAGAGGAGCCAAGACCAAGCTGGGGCAATCGGCCAAGACCAACAGGGTTTTCTCTGATTACAATTCCTACTATAGAATCACTATGTTTAAATTTTTTTTCCCAAAAAGAAAAAAAAAAGAAAAAAACCCTCCAAAAAAGTTTTTAAATTTGGGTACAATCTCAATGTGTGGCTAAATCTGACCTGAACTGATGAAGCTATTTATAGTCTAGTTATCCCACTTAGTGGGACAGTTCATTTCACTGTAGAAATATTAATGTGTTTGATTACAGGGTGCGCTCCTGGGGATACTATATAATATACAATATATATACTGTATCACCTTCATAAAATTGGAAAAATTCTGACTTCTGGAATAATTGGGATAAGGGACTATGGACATGTATTAACAGTACCCCCAGCAGTTTCCACTTATTGCATGCTTTGTATGTGCCAGTTACTGGGCAGGTTCATTTAATTTTCACAAACTACCAGTGAATCAGGCACCATCATTATCATTTTATAGACTGAGGTTAAGTTGCTCGAGGCCTCTGGGCTGGGAAAGGGGCAGAGCTGGGACTCTAGCCTATGAATGCTGTGCCCATTATGATGGGCTCCCCACATTCAGCCACAACAGGGAGCTCTGATAGCCAGTTGGGAAGGGTTGGGGTCATTTGGTAAGGAAAGGTGAAGAGATGCAAATACATGCAATACGTGCAGATATATCCATATTCTGAAGATAGTTTCTGGCTATTACTAGACTCCTCCCCACAATAGGCTGCCTCCTCCTGGGCTGGAACGTACTTTGTGCTTTCCCAGAGGCGCCCAGTCTTGACTCCGCTTCTGTGTCTGTGGTCTCAGGTGGGCAGGTCTCCTGGGTCTCTTTGCTCTCAGCGGCTCCCTCAGGCTCCTCTCCCTGCTGCTGTTGCCCCAGGTGATGTTCAACCATCATCTGAAGCTCTGGGGATGCAGAGAAAGGGAGGGAACATTGGACACGACTGCCCAGAGCCTCCTCTGTGAACACTCAACTTCAACAACCACGCTAAATGGCCATCACACACTGCCATGCCCTGAGATCTGAACAAGGAGGGACATTCGCTAGGCAATTAGGAGGGACTAAAGCTAGACAATAAGACATATTTCCTTCAAAGGTAGGAAAGGTGCCCTGGCCGGCGTGGCTCAGTTGGTTGAGTATTGTTCCAAAAGGCTGCTGGTTCAATTCCAGGTCAGTTAGTGCACATACCCTGGTTGCAAGTTTGACCTCCCGTCGGGGTGCGTATGGTAGGCAACCGATCGATGTTTCTTTCTTACATTGATGTTTCTCTCTCTCTTTCTCCCTATCCCTTCCTCTCTCTCTCAAATCAATAAAAACATTTTTTTTAAACAATAAGAAAGGTGTAGGGAAGAGCCTTTAAGAACAAAAGGCTCTAACTTGTTGGGATACTTGGTCTCCTTTGGGGGCAGGAAAAAAGACCAAGTTAGAGTAAAAAATATTTGAAATCAAAACAACATGGTGCTGGCATAGAAAGAGACACACAGACCAATGGAAAAGAATAGAGAGGCCAGAAATAAACTCACACCTATATGGTCAATAAATATATGACAAAGGGGGCAAGAACACACAGTGAGGTAAAACTAGCCTATTCAATAAATGATGCTGGGAAAACTGGACAACTGGACAGATACATGCACCCCCCCCCAAAGAAAAAACCACAACCCCCCCACAAAACTAGATCACCTTCTTACACCATATAAAATAATAAACTCAAAATAGATCAAAGACTTAAATGTAAGACCCAAAACCACAAAACTAGAAGAAAACATAGGCATAAACTCTCTAACATATATATATATATATATATATATATATATATATATATATATATATATACATATTTCTGATATATCTACTTAGGCAAGAGAAACAAAAGAAAAAACAAACAAATGGGACTACAAACTAAAAAGTTTCAGCACAGCAAAGGAAACTATCAACAAAATGAAAAGACAACTTGCTGAATGTGAGAAGTTATTTACCGATGATATATCCGATAAGGGGTTACTATCCAAAATTTACAAAGAACTCATACAACTCAACACCAAAAACAAGCCCCAAACAACCCAATTAAAAAATGGGCAGAGGACGTGATAGACATTTCTTCAAAGAGGACATACAGATGGCAAATAGATACATGAGAAGATGCTCAATGTCACTAATAATCAGAAAAATGCAAATTAAAACCACAATGAGCCCTAGCCGGTTTGGCTCAGCGGATAGAGCGTCGGCCTGTGGACTGAAGGGTCCCGGGTTCGATTCCGGTCAGGGGCATGTACCTGGGTTGTGGGCACATCCCCAGGAGGGGGCGTGCAGGAGACAGCTGAATCGATGTTTCTCTCTCATCGATGTTTCTAACTTTCTATCCCTCTCCCTTCCTCTCTGTAAAAAATCAATAAAATATATTAAAAAAAACCCCACAATGAAATATCACCTCACACCTGTCAGAATAGCTATCATCAATAAATCAACCAACAATGAGTGTTGGT